AGCGTTCAGCTATTTTATGATAAGTAAATAGATTTAATTGCATTTTGCATACATTACTTATACAAATTCTCATTTGTCCAAAAATGTCAAATTAAAATGGAAAAATAATTAAATTCACTTCCTCAGCGTTAATTCAATCCAAAACTGATTTAATGTTCGTCTGAGATTAAAGCAACAGCAAATAACAGTTGTTGACATCGTTGACGAGCCAATATTAATAATAACCTTTAATATGTATATGTATGTATAACATGTAGGGTTATCAATTTTGCGGTTTCGAAAATGTACGTTAATAAAAGGTATTTTAAATAATTTTTCCAAACATTTTATTATTCAAATGACCATTTTGCGAATTTTTCCAAACTTCGAAGTGTTTGAGCTAGTTTTCATCGGTTTGTGCCACATATTTTGCGGTATCTAAGCCATAACTTGCCGAGTGCTCGTTTTCAAGTGCTCAAGCATAACCACTGTATTTCGTGCAGCCTTACAAAGTAAGTCCAACGGTGTCAAATCGCAGGATCTCGGTGGCCTACCGACATCGCCAAGACGAGAGTGAAGCGACCAGGAAATTATTCTCGCAATGAAGCCATATTCGCTCGAGTTGTGTGACAAAATCTTGCTCAAGTCGTGTTCTTCAATCCCGTACCGAATCGACAGTGATAACCTCACCTTTGTAGATTTCAATCACACTTTCGATCAAAAGAGCGCATCAGACAGTAAGTTTTTTTTTAGGTGGAATGGGATGTGCTCTCGTAAATTTTTTGAGGATTTACAGAGCACCAAATGCGCCAATTTCGCGTATTTACATATCATCCGGCTGAGAAATGTGCCTCGCTGCTGAAGACAATTTTGCTCGAAAAATCGCCTCCCACGATTTTTTGTTAAATCATCTCATCGACGTATGTATGTATATATGAGCTGGACTTTGCATGGCTGCAGGTATATTCGGGTATTCGGCTATGCTTACACTTACAGTAGCGATACTTGAGGTGGAACGAGCAAAAGGATGACGTATTTCCATCTCTAATTGTGAATTTTGGTCAGGCCAGGAATCGAAACCAGGACTTTACGCATGTTAATACCCACGGTTAACCACTTAGCTATTCTGCCAGCCCTTCAAATGACACAAAGTAAAAAAAAAAAAATTAAAATTAACTCAGCATATTACATGATGGGTACATATTTATATACAAATATTTCCCTATGCTAGCTTCATGTATGAAAAGAAAATGTAAAAACTTGAAATTAAAACTGTCACAGTTAATTTACGTCACCCGCCGTTGATCTGAATGAATTTGTTACGTATACCGAATACTGAAATATACATACATAAATATGTATAGTACATAAGCATCTTACATACTTCACTTGTGTGGTTGCCTAAAATAGTAAACTACAACTAAACTAAAAATTACAACGGTGTTTGAGAGTCATAATAAATTTTGTAATTATCCTTGGGCCAGTCGCAATAATGCAGGGCAAGCTTTTCAGACCAAATAACAACGAACATTCAATAAGATTCTACATTTACATTATAAGCCCTCTCTTTGTTTGCTTTAATTCTTGAGCTTTTATGCATGAAGGTTCTCATTGTGCCCCAAGTGGCTAGAACATACAACAATTTGGTGTAAGGCTTTGAAAAAAAATTGCTTGAATGGGTTTAAAGCGCATTTTATACGTTCATATGAGCACCGTTTTTGGCTTACAACGAAAATATCAACTGGTCCAAATGCAACTAGTTGATAACTAGTTTATGTATAATATTATTTACAGCCATGCATGTTAATCCAGCAAGTTTTCTTCTCTTTTTTGTTTGTTTGCCAGTTATCTAAATATATGTGACATTCATACTGCGTCACAGCTGGAGAACGCAGCCGGAGAGCGCCCAAGTTGAATGACAATGTCAAAAGTGTTTGCGCGCTTGTTGTTGCAGCACTCCATATTAGTTGCACGCACTCTTGTTGTAACATTTATTTGCCACACACAAACACACAAATTCCACCTTGTACATACATACAAGGCATGTTGTAAGTTGCATTATTGTCGCAACAAATAATTGCATTGACTTTGTTGAGTTTGTGCGACGTATGGAAAACAAGCGTGTAAGCATAACAACAACAATAACAACAACGAAAACAATGACAACAAGAAGATATATAATGAACTGCCACAAAGTAATAAATCCCCATAGAGTCCTCGAAAGTGCAACAAGTAAAAATAATTGCTGCATTAACTGCCCCGCTAATGTATTTATTATTATACTCCATTGTGGTTGTTGTTGCTGTTGTTGTAGTTGTTGTAATGCTATGACTGCGCTTACATTGCATTTACAATAAATTGATTGCAAACTAAGCTGACAGCAAACAACGGACAGCAAAGACAGCAGAGACAATTGAGCAGTGTGGCATGCCACATACATACATATGTGTACAGTATATGTATGTATGTATGTATCGTACATGTGGCACGCATTTAATCAAGCGTATTACAGCGTGGCTGCGCATGCGCACAAATTAAAATGCAACGACATTGCCGCTGCGGATTTAAGGCGATTAAAATTGTTGTGAATGCGTTTTAGTCCGCGGATTACAAAATGCGTAAGGGCGTTGATTAGGCGCTGGTGGTGGGGTCTTGTAGTGAACACTTGGTGGCTAATGCTATGCGTTGCAATGTCCCGGCTGATGTGGAGAGGAGTGGTCGGCTGACCAGACTTTATAACGCAGTGAATATGGGGAATTTGTGGTATGAGGTAGAATGCCATGCGTGACTTAATTGATTTGCCCATTGATTGAAGTGTAGCCAAGGTAGCGTGGAAAAGTAAGGATTGTAAGGGCTTACAACAATATAAATTTAAATATACAAATTTTTAATTTCATGGATTTTATGAACAGGTATGCATAGGTACATATAGGGAAGGGCTACTTAATAAAGCTTAAATAGCCTCCGACCAGTCTCCGGTTCGTGCACGAAAAAGTCTCTATCAGTCCAACCATCTACATTAGCCGAAAACAGGCACTTGGACTAAAATGGAATCCCTTTAAAAATCTCACTTCTCGGTTTGGAGACATTTTCTGTGTCACTTTCTGTGACTGCTAAGGGTATTTATACCAAGTTGATATCAACCTTTACCTAATATACGAGGTGTGTTCAAAAAATATCGCGAATTTTGTGTTTTCAAAAATTATTTATTTATTCATGAATATCTATTTTGTCCCCTTCAAAGTAATCCCCATGAGATAGTATATACTTGTACCAACGGTTTTTCCAATCTTCGAAGCACTTCAAAAAATCATTTTTTTATCGTGTTCAGCTCCTCCTTCGATGCCGTCTTTATCTCGTCAATCGTAGCGTAACGTCGTCCTTTCATGGGCCTCTTCAGTCGCGCACAAGCAACGATGTGTGAGCAGGGGCGTTATCGTGGTGCAAAACCCAATTTTTCCGGGCGGTTCTAGCGGATTTCTTCGCGTAAATTGCGCTTAACTTGCAAGTTATATTCCTTATTGACCGTTCTACCCTGTGGCAAGAACTCATGATGCACCACGCCCCTGCAATCAAAGAGAACTGTCTGTTGTTTAAGTGCTCGGGCGTCCGGCACGCTCTTCGTCGTTCACATCTTCTCGGCCATCAGAGAACATTTTGACCAACCGATAAATGTTGCTTCGGTCCAAGGCAGCTTCTCCGTATGCCACAGTCAACATTCGGAATGCATCCGCGCACTTAATTTCGTTTTTCACACAAAATTTTATACAGGTTCTTTGATCCATTTTTTTGAAAGGGAAAAAATCGAAGACCGTCCAAAACTCGTGCAAGCAAAGCAGCTGTCAACAATTAAGTGAACATTCAAAATGGCCGAGCTTGTCGGCATAAGTGACAGACATGAGTACCAACATAACGCCACAAAAATATAGAAATTCGATTATATGTAACCCGCGAAAATGGAAAATTCGCGATACTTTTTGAACATACCTCGTAATTTATTTCTTTACGAAACCTAGACAAAGGGAAAGGGTGACAGGTTTCAGAATATTAAGCTAAATTTTCAAGTCGATACGAATGAAACCTTGGGAAATACTGCCTTGGTTAGGTGTGCGCTGAAAGTTAGGAAGACTCAGCTCTTTAAACTTTACAGGAGTTTTTCTCGAAACTTTATTTACAAAGTCGACCGCCAAAAGTTCTAGAAAACTATACCACTGATATTGATGAAATTTTACACAACTCTTCGAAACACAAGACATCGGTCGAAGACCTTTTTTCAATACAACTATTAGATAAAAATTTTGAGAAAATTTTCTGATGAAAATTCTCTTATCAACGCAGATACACATTTTCCCGGGGGGTTATCAGAAATGACGTCACAATGCCCGAGTTGCGAATATTTTTCTTGGAAAGCTTTAGAAACACTTTTTAAATGCACATCCTTAAGGCAGCAAGTAACAGGTTTAAATAAAATATTTTATTTATTTTTTACAATAAATTTTTCGACGATATGCCTCTCTTACCCATAAATGGACCAGATACCTACAACCGAGTTCAATAAATATACTTTATTTACAGGAAAGGGATAAACGAAAGATTGATAAAAAAGTTATCATAGATCACATGTAGTTATGTGGCCGGGTCTTCTGGCACAATACAAACAAATAAAATAAGCCAATTGAACGATATTGATAATTTCTGCGATCTCGTCTTTTTTTTTGGTGAAAGTATAAAAATAAAGTTTTCGTTGACTGGATGTAACTATGCCCTTATATTACATAAATTTTGTTAACATTTTATATCAAAACAACAGTAGTGGACTTAACGAAGTATCGTAGACTGGTGAATAATTATTACAAATTATTATTATAATTATTGAAAAAGTTTATCATAATGACATCTGCATATGCCATAATAAAGTTATTAACTTGAAAAAAGTCAAAATCTTATTAGAATCACATTTAGAAATGGCTGCTTCTAAAACTTAAGTTTGTAATTAATAATTTTTTTTTTCTATTCTACAGTTGCTGCCCCACATGCAGCAGGTATTCAGTGGTAAGTTTTGTAACTCAAATATAATTAAGTGCGTAAGACTAGCCAAGGTGGCAAGGCCTAAAATGTAGAATATCCGATGAAAATCTTACTATATGAACACTTAGTCCACAAAGAAGTCTTAAACCCCATATCAATGTAAAGCCAACACTAAAAATGCTCTTGACGTAGCCTTTAAAAACAGGCCAATTAACATAAAAGGTAACTTATGCAGCAGCACTAACAGATATCCAACTAAGCATGCTAGATAGTCGGGGCCAGCACTCAAAAATGGCGGTATACAGAAAGATATAAGAGAACTCAAACTAAACATACAGTGTGACGTAGCAGGCAATAATGGGGGAAGACAAGGCCCTCGTACTGCAAATTTTCTCATCTATGCTGATGGGTCCAAAAGGAAAGACAGGCACTGAAGCAAGGTTCTGTTGTGACCGCCACAATAGCCAAGGTTGCTTCAAAATAAATTACTACCACTCTGTGTACTAAATGGGGTTTGTGGGTGTTAGGCGCCAAGTGGGCAACCGTCCATGGTTTTTGTAGACAGACATGAGACAACCAAGGTTATCACTTGTGTGTGAGGCAATAAACAGACTATCATGGACTATTATGGTGAACATTAATTGGATCCCAGTTCACACGAATATAGAAGATAATGAACTGGCGGACGAGCTGGTTCACGTAGACGCCACCATCAACTACTTTAGACAATTCAGCACCCTTAAATGTTTTGTAAAAGAGTGAAACCAAGCTAGGATAGGACACCCCACTGAACAACTTTGTGGCAGCGTAGATTGCAGACAGACTAAATTTTTGCTAGCTCTAAGTAAAAGAGAATTTAGCTTTCTTGTAGCTATACTGAAGAGGCATTTTTTCCTAAGATATCATCTTCACAAGCTATTTGGGGTAGAATTGGCTGAGTGAAGATCCTATCTTGAGTAGAGTGAAACACTGAAACTTTACTTTTGTTAGGACCTGGTCTTCAGCCAATTGAGACCTAAAATATTCCACGGTGCCCCGTGTGGAGTGGAAGTAAATGAAAAAAAAATTACAAAATTACTAAATCCAGTGAGGCCGCCCATTTTTGGGTTTTTAGCCTCCCAATTCGACCAATCAAGTGCTAAGGAAAATTATTTATATATATATTCGGAAAATTGGGAATTTTCAAAATTTAAGTGACTTTACTGTTGGTGGAGGGGACACTGCAGCCTTAGGGAAACTGCGCTGCCAGCACAAACCGGCAGCCAGTAAGTGAGGCCGAATTGGGTGGAGCGACTCAAAACCTAAGAAAAAAACTGGCAACATGATGTAGGGAACTCTGTGCAATGCGCAAGTGTGTCAAAGGACGATTTCAGATGTTCCCGTAAGTTTCGAGACACTTCTTAGTAAACCAAACCAGCGGATTATAGTTGAAAATATTTCTCCTGGTTTTCATTGCCACATTGAAATTAAAAAAAACATTCGGATGAATTAGTAAGAAGTTTAATTAAATACGAAATAATATATCTAGATGTGAATATTGATGGAGTTCCGCTTCTTCATAGCTCCCAATTTAACTTCGAATGTAATGGATGGATTATTGTTTTGTGTAGGAGTTCATTTGGGAACTCCGAAGTCTTGTTGCGTACACGTAGAAATTTATTTGTCTAAATTTATAGAAGAAATTAAATATATTTTGGAAAATTTATAAATAAATTGGATATTGGAATTACGAAAATTTTATTTATTAATATGCAATTTTTCTGCATAAATTAGCTTCACAGAAAGTAATTGTATAATAACATTTTTTAATTTAAATTTTCATTTATTGAATAATAAACTTTATACTCTTATATACATAAATAAATGGACATATCTCTAAATGCAATGAACAGAAACATAATTTTAGTTTATTTTAGGAATTCCGTAGAGCAAGCTCAGAACTGTTCAATGTGAAGCACATTCTTAGCTTAAAATTTCATGTCCACCCATTTTTTTACTGTTTGTGAACCGTTCACATTTGCTCTATCCTAGGACGATTTCGAAATTTCTACCGAAGGGGGCACTTTCTAGGGCATCGCCATGTCATAGTAGATAGTTGAACGCATGGTTTGGAGATAGAGAAAAGGGTAGTACCATACGCAAGTTGTTCAGATTATTGCTAGTTCCACACTAGCGCGATTCGGTGAAGGGTAATTATATAGAGACGTCGGACGAGAAATAAATGAATTTACGTACAGAAATATGAAAAATTTCAGAAAAATTACGGTAATATTCCACTAAATACACAAGCGAATAAGATAAGTGCCACAAAATCGTTATTGGATACTGAAGCTGTGGTTACAGAGAGACAAATGATACATCTACATATGTGTGTGTGTATTAATAAATCGAACTATCAAATTTTTTTGATGGTTTATAATATTTTTTATGTATTGTTGAAGAATACCACTGTAGCGCTTAAATCTGAATCGAAATGCCTTTGAAATATAATACATATGTACATATATACAAATCCCACAAGTTTTCAGTAAACAACAACACAGAACCGAATAGAATAATTACCACACAACTTAATTAAAAGAATTCATGTTGTGCAACGCAACAGTTAAACGCCGCATGACACCGCCGCACTATCGAAAAAATAAATCAACAAAAACTACTCCATTAACAAACTCATAACACCTACAAGCGGCGCAAAAACAAAAACAACAACACTGCAACTAAAACATAAAGCGATTTTCACGCTCGCATCTTGGCTTTTGATGCTGGAAATTTTATGTCTATTACTCACATACATAAGCACTCATTTACCCATGTACATACATACATATATGTATAATGAAGATATAAAGCATAAACTGCAAGTTGTGTTAATTATTTATTGGAAAAAGCAAAATAACGTGTATTTATGTGTGAGTGTTTGAGCATTTGACGTTTAAGCGTTAAAAGATGCTTTGCCTTGAACCAAATCGAGGTGTGAAGATGCCAACAATAAAAGAGGCATTAAAAAATAGGAAGTTAAAAAAAAGCCGATGCAACATAAAACAGAGTGCAGCAGCTTTAAATAGATACGAGGGCAGGTGAAAAAATTTTATGAAATAAAAATGTTGTAAGTGAAACCGTAAATTTATTTTTCCTTGCTCATTAAACGTCTAATAAAATGAAATATTTCTTGTGCAAGTTAATATTTTCTCTAAACTAGCGCAAAAAGGGTTGCTCACCTCTCTGTAGGGCAAACTGGTATCTCAGCTCTCACCCAAAGCTGATGCAAAAATGCATTAACTTTCACTCTGCTGCAGCTTTTGTGCCAAATAAACAACACTGTGGAGTGATTCGAGCTCACTTATGTAGAAATTATTCAAATTATAAATATAAAATTACACCTAAGCATCGGAAGCATTTTAGCAGAAAATCAGCTTTCATAAATACTTTGGGCTTTAACTAGTCACCCAAAAACGACTCAGATTCATACTTTTTGTGGTCCAATAATCCCTGAGCTTTACCCACTGACACTAGTCTGAAATTTTAGTAAGAATATTAGTGGCTCTTGTAGATAGTCTAAATGTCCCTGTGAAGTTCTCTTCATCAAAAATTAAGCGATTTATGTTAGGTTTAAATTGAATAGATAACCAACCTGATATTTTTTGGAGATTTAGAGCAAAATAATACATCCTACCTATAGCTACAATTAATTACCTCGATATTATATGTATTAACCCTTTGCACTGGAGACCTTTTTTGCGGGGCACGCCAGCCACTCTAAGCGTTTCGTAGCATATTTAATGAACTTCTTACCTCTAACTTAAAACGATTACACGCAGAGAGCGAAACACGTAATTGGGCTGTCGTGTAAATGCCGTATAAGAACCCGCGTCGAAGAAAGTAAACGAAAACAGTTAGTCCCGAGTATCGAGTTACCGCAGCAAACCAAGTGGTGAGCGATAGTCACTTCTCGAGTTGCGACAGCACACCCCATGTTGATGGAAAGTCACCTCTCGAGGGCAAAGGGTTAATTTACAGAGGTCTTTTCATCCTGTGACGTAAGAAATATATATAAAAATTAAAAAAAAAATTCTTAATTTTTTTCTTAAAGATTTAATAACAAAAATTCTTAATATTTATTTTTTATTACTAGAGCATGAGTAGAAAATTTATATTTGGAGATACTGACGTCCCCTCTTTAAGTTTGGAATACGAGGAGTTTTATGCGCAATTCACTTAAGCCTTATATAGACGAGATTTGAAGACACCAAATGAAATCAAGTCCTTCTCCATCTGATGTTTCCTAATATTTTGCTTCCACGGCTTATATTGTAGCGAATCATTTTCATCTATCCGGATGTCGTAAACTTTCCAGCGTGGCCGATGTCTCTTCGCTGAACTATTTCAGTACCATCGTAGGATACTTGCGTTCTGCCGTCTGCGGTAGAGACCACTGCCATTTAGCATAAGATTTTTATCGAATGACTTATGGCGTTCAGTCTTTGTTCGTCTAAAGAGATTTTTTCTTCCAATTGCCTATTCAGTCCAAAGTTGTTGCTGTTAGCTAGAGTAGTTTTTTGTTGGATTTCAGAGCTGATATTGTATTCTGTTATTGGTGTTAATGCTGGTTCCAAGCTAAATGAATTTCAATTTCGAGGTTCTAACTGTCAACAGCGACGTGTGAGCTGTGTGCCGAATGCGATGACTCTTTCTTTGATAGTAGATGATGTTCCGTCTTATCCATTACCGAGGCATTCGCTTCGCTTCTTTATCAAATCTCTGGAAAGCAGAACTTAAGGCGCGGTTGTTGAGACCGATAACGTCAATATCATCGGCATACGCCAGCAATTGTAAGCTGTTTAAGATTATTGTGTCTTATCAGCAGTTCATTATCATCCTCTCCAGCATTAGGTGGAAGAAGTAACATGAAATTCTTCAAAACCTTGCTTAGTATCGAACAATTATGAAAGGTTTTTCTCAGTTATGTTGGAGCCTTTGGTTTTGCTTATCGCTTACCCAGCGGTTTCAAAATGGTCGAGCCA